GAAGGGGACCAGACAGCTGGGTTATGCCAACACTCCACTAGAGATCCTGACGTCATCTCTGTTGGCCTTTTTCCCTTACCCTCCCCAGGGGAAAACAAATATCAAGATGTTTTCTGGTGGAGGGGCAGTGTGGAGAAAGGGTCAGGAACGCAGTCTTTCTGCCACTGGCCTTGCAGAAGCAGCCCTAGGGCTGCAGCTGCTGGGGATGGTCATCACGGCAAAGCCTGGGCCCAAGGAGCAGCCCTCCGGTCTTTGTACAAAGACCTTGTTCTGCTTCCCAGGCTGGTTAAAAAACACACCCAGCCGGACAGACGCAGACACAGCCAGACGGGCTGTCACACATACGGAAAAGACAGAAAGTCACACCTTCCTCCCCTACCGTGAAGCCGGGTCCATTCCCCGATGTTCCACATATGCTACCTCTGTGACAAGGACGGTTACCCCCATTCAAGAGGAGGAGAAGCTGAGGCTGGAGGAGTATAAATAACTTGCCCAAGACCACACAGGTACTGAGGGGAAAGGTCACACTGGCCCTTCTGCCCCCAGAGTCTGGGCCTGGATTTGTCATGACTCTGACTTCCATCAACAGCAGGGACAAAGAGAAGGATGTCCTCATTTATTTCAGGCTGCTGTATGTTCAGGCCCTAAGACGTCTTCAAAGTGAAAGTTAAGACAGAAAGTAAACAGCTTCACAGACAGGCTGGTTGGGGTCCTTGGGGTGGCAGAGATGCCTTTGGAGCTGGGCTTGGGGGGGGGTGTTTTTGCTGTGTGCCAAACACTAGACTCTCTTTGTGCTTTATCCTGACTCTTAATGTAGAGCCAGAATTTTCCTAGTAGGCCCGACTGACAGTAGGGCCTATGTTTTCTGAACATGAGAAGCCAAGCCAAGAGATGAGGTCCAGCTGGCTGGACACCAACACAGCACACCAAGGCGGAGGCCTCATCAGTCAGGGATATGAGGGGAAATCCGAGGTCCCTGCCCGTGGGTGATGCCTTGCTGAATAACTCCAGGAATCCCTACCTCTTACCCTCAGAACAAACCCCTGGCCTGCTTGCTGGCCAGAAGCGAAATAACACGGGCGTTTCAGAGCCATAAGGAAGCTACCTATTACTTGTGCTGACTCTGAGGTCAAGGACGAATGCACCCGCTTTGGAAACGGGAAGACCTTGGTTTGGTGCCCAACCCGAATTTCACTCTTGCTCGTGGTGTGAGGCAATCACCTTACTTTCCACTAGACCATGTACTGGGTTTGGTTAAAATGAGGGACGCCAGAGCCACCCCAGGGTGCCATCTGCATTGCAGTCTACACGGCAAGCCGTGCATGGCAGCCTTGCTAAGCCTACATGGCAGGCTGGGGGCGTGAGGTTCACCTGGCCGACCTCCCACCCTGTGCCCCTCCACCATTCTGCTCCAGCTCAATTCGGGGGCTCTTCAAGGGGCCTGGCAATTAGGTTGGCGAACTCGCCCCCGTGGACTGATGTTGGCAGCCCCGTACAAATAACTCAGGGAGATTTCCTAACCTTGGTATGCCAGTGTCTCACAGCTGTGTTTGTGTCGACGGGCGGCGGGGTCTTGCTGAGTGGCGTGCATTATTGTTGCATGTTGTGTGTCGTCGGGAGAATGTCGGCGCTTGAATCAGAGCAACGAGCAAACATTAAATTTCTTGTTAAACTTGGCAAGAGTAGATGTGAAATCAGGGACATGTTAGTCCAAGTTTATGAGGATAATGCCATGAAGAAAATGGCAGTATACTAAGGGTTTAAACATTTTTCTGAGGGGACAGAAGGTATCACTGATGGAGAGAGGTCAGGATGGCCGGTAAGGAACAGAACTGATGAAAGCATTGTAAAACTTAATCAAATTGTATGTCAAAATCATTGGCTGACTGTGAGGAGTATAGCAGACCAAATAAACATTGATAGAGAAACAAGAAAACTGTAACTGAAAATCTTGGCATGAGAAAGATGTGTGCAAAAATGTTCCCAAAGGCGTGCTTGGATCACGACAATGCACCAGCTCACACAGCACTGCCTGTAAGGGAGTTTTCAGGCAGTAAACAAAAACTGTATTAGAGCACCCTCTTACTCACCTGATCTGGCCCCCAATGACCTGTTTTCTGTACTCAAAGATAAAGGAAATAGTGAAAGGAAGACATTTTGATGACATTCGGGATATCAAGGGTAATACAATGACAGCTCTGAGGGCCATTCCAGAAAAAGAGTTCCAAAATCACTTTGGCAAGTGGACCACGAGCTGGCGTTGGCACATAGCTTCCCAAGGGGAGGACCTCGACGGTGACTGCAGTGATATTCAGCAGCGAGGTAGGTAGCATTTTTTCTAGGCTGAGTTCGCAAACTGAGTCGTCAAATCTCATATAACTCAACCACGAGGGGCCAGGCACTGGGCGAGGTGCTGGGACACATAGACCAGGAAGTCCAGGTTCCTGCTTTGGAGAGAGACCAGACAGGTGAGCCCCGTTGCAGCCAGGCGCAGGCAGGCATAGCCGAAGTAGAGAGAGGAACAGAACCAGCAGAGCAATGAGCCACGAGCTACGGGAGCGTCAGGGACGTTCGGAGACACGAGATGCAAAAGAAATCTCAGGCGACGAATGGGCCAGCAACAGAGAGGTGGGGCCAAGGGACAGATGCAGGGAAGACCCCAGATCTCCGTGAAACCTGGCCGCCGGCCCGTCCCATCCCCAGCCTGGCTCCAAGGCCCAGGAGCAGCCGTCGGCTCTGGCCTCTGGGGGGACAGCCCCACCCCACACCCCTGCTCGTAGCTCCCTGGGGCTCTGACCCTCTTGGCTCAGGCCTCTGCTCCCCTCTCTGGCCCCTGTGGCACGCTTCGGATACACTTCCCTGACCTTGACCTTCCGGACTCTTTGGGACATGAGGCCGTCAACGCCTTCCTGGCTCGCTCAGTGAGTGGAAGACATTCCTCCTTCCACCCTGTCCTGGGCGCCCTGGAGGCCAGGCGCCCGGCCTCCCAGCAGGCACCAGACACAGGAGGATCCGTAAGCTCCGGTGGAGCTGGACCACAAAGCCTAAGCGGGAGAAGACAGACACGGCTCTGGGAGCAGGCGGGGGGCCCTCCGACTCCAACTGGAAGGCTGCGGTCGCCAGGCCCTTGGGGGCGGAATGGCAAGTTCTGACTTGCCTTCCCAGGGGTGGCAGGAACAGGGTGGACACCCTGGAGACACAGCGCTAGGAGCAAACACAAAGGCCGCATGGGGGCGGGGGCCCTTGTCCGAGCGGGACTCAGGCAGGAGAGAAAGTCGGGCGCTGCCTGTCTTGGGAGGGAGTCAGGACCTCCCTGGAGGAGGGGTGGGACTGACCGGGGACCTCTCCCTCTCCCTCTGCGTTCTGCAGCCGCCATGGTTCTGATGCTTATCAGGGGAAGCTGCGTCCTGACCTCATCACCGCCATCCTCCCCCACCGCCTCC